GCCTCGCCTCGCCTCGCCTCGCCTCGCCTCGCCTCGCCTCGCCTCGCCTCGCCTCGACTCTACTCACCTAAACTTTTCCAAATCATGACTCTTTGTACTTATTATTTTCAATATGTTTCTTTATTTTACAGGGACCTCAGCAATAATCTCCTTTCACACATTCCCTCAACACTTTTGAGTTCTCAAGCATCATTGTCGTCACTGTATGTTGATAAAATTATAGACTATAGAGGCTTAGCTTTGCACCATCACGTGATGGCAGCAATGACGACAGCAGGCACAATAATACAGTCTTTTCTCCCCTAGAAAATGAATTATTTTTCATGTAAACCAGATTAGAACATTTTCAATTGTTCCTGCCTCCTGTCATGGCTGCCATCACGTGACGGTGCAAAGCATCTATAAAAAGATATTGTTCAATATTAGAATTAAATTGTAAAAAACTAAATCCCTACCTTGGGACCAAAACGATGAAAAGAAAAACAAACTGGAATGCCAATCTTTAGGGGAACGGAATTATTTTGCTCTAACCCCAGATTGGGAATACTAAAGGGAAAGCAAAAGTCACAATTGAAGCCACTAACATATCACGTGATCAGTTCCCGCCATTATTAATACAATGCAATTATTTTATTATCAAGGAGCCTTCGGGCAAACAGACTGACATCGATTGAACCAACAACATTCAAGAATAACAGGAATCTCACTTCACTGTAAGTAGAGATGGTACAATTCAAAATAGAGTTATAGCCAAGTAATTATTAGCTGAACAATATTTCTCCTGTGAATTTATGTTGCTGAACCAGCAAAAAAATGTAAAAGAAAAAAGTAGCTGTTGGATTTGATCAACTTGGCTTATATCTGGAGATGAATTAGAACAAAGAGCTTAATTTAAATGTTGATTTTCCATTACTAGAATTCTATAAATGGCCAAATCGTTTGTCTATCGTAAACAAATATCTTTATCTAATGTCAGTGACCCGATATATTTTTACAGGTACATCAATCACAACGACCTCAAAGAAATCCCAGATGAGTTATTCAGGAATCTAAAACACCTGAAGATACTGTGAGCTTGCATTATATATTTTCTGAACTTCATGTTATAATAGAAATCTAGAATAAGATATTAACATAGCAAGGATTTAATTTCAATTGGGACTTCTCACGAAGGGTCTAAAGTGGCAATTGAACTTTTTACCTTGGGAGTTAAATTTTGCAATAGGGCCTTTGCAGTTAACGGTCACGTGTCTGTACTTGTGAGCAAATGTTTTTAGTCTGGTTAAATTGGTGATTATTTTTAGCTACTTGTAAAGAACTGAATGAAACAATGTGTAACCAGTGTGTCACGATATGCAGTCTTATTACGATCTCTCGAAACAGGTTGTAGAAAGTTTGTTTGCTCACCAGTATATTTCACCCATGGGAATCAAGATGTTAATTCATTTTCTCTCAGTCAATTGATAAGCACGTGATTACTAATCTGCAAAGGGTCTATTCCAGATAACGTGTAATACTACTTGGAAATAAGATTTTTCGTTTGAGTTGTATCCATATTCATGTGTCTTCTTATGTGTTCTGAAATGGGAAAACATTACGCCCAAAGTAACGAGGTCTATTGACTTAGAGTATTCAAATTGTCGGACACGCAAAGCATTCTTGAATAATAGGACGGTTGGTATTTATAGACCCCTTTTTAAATATTAAAAAAAAGAAAAGATTCCAACCCTCAAGAGTAAGGAAATTCTTTTGTTTTATGGATTTCTACACTAGCAAGACTCACTCTCACAATTCCCGGAATCCTGTGTCAATTGTGTATGGAAAATCCTATGGTGAAATGAATTATACTTGTACTGCATGTTATCAATGTATTGCTTTTTTAGAAATTTAAGCCACAACAAGATCAAAGTGTTCAGTGCTGCAATGTTTGAAGGTTTAACTTCTCTTGAAAAATTGTAAGTATTTCTTATTAATTACATACTCACTCTCTCGTAATCAGCATACATATACTCAGTTAATGGCCCTGGACCTCGACATTGGCTTCCAAACGTTTCAGTTAGCTATACCTTATGCACCTTTTATTTGCTTTTAAGGTACCTGGAAAACAACCTTCCAATAACCTTATCTCCGAACATCTTTAAATCACTTACTTCACTGAAGGAGTTGTAAGTAATGTCTTTTTTCGTCGTTGTTGCTAATGCTGCTGCTGCTACTTCTGTTGTTGCTTTGGTTGCTATTGGAAGTCTCATTGGTTTGCACCAATCCAAGATGCAGGCTTGTGGAACGAATCTTGCCCGAAGAACTGTGCCTTTTCTGGAGCAACGATCTCCTTCCTAACAGATCGTGCGCCGCGTGCGAAAACATGATGAGAACGGATAATTTTTATAATGATGACGGTGGTGGTAGTAAAATGATGGTAATGGTAGTGGTGACGATGACGATGGTAATGATGATGATGCTTCCTCGTTTGGAGTAACAAGGTAATAATTCACCCTAATACTAAACTACAATTTTTTATATTATTTTTTGCAGGCACGTGGATGGGTTCTTTCTCTGTTGCTATGCCAAGAAAGCTATCCCGAATGTAAAATGCATCTCACCAAAAGATTTCTTCTCAAGCTGCTCAGATCTGATGAAAAATAAAACGCTACAAATCTTCATCTGGATTCTCGGTCTGTCGGCCTTACTTGGCAACTTCTTTGTCGTGATTCTGCGTTCAGTTTTTAAAGAAGACAACAAAGTTCATTCCTTTTTGCTCACCAACCTTGCAGTTGCAGACTTCCTAATGGGAGTATACATGCTAATACTTGCGATAAAAGACGTTACATTCCAAGGAGAGTACTTCAAGCATGACTTCACATGGAGAACTGGGAAGACCTGTAAACTCGCAGGGGCTTTATCGCTGTTGTCAAGTGAAGCGTCGGTTCTCCTTCTGACACTAATAACAGCAGATCGTTTCAAAAGCATCGTATTTCCATTCCGTTTTGGAAAGTTAAGAATGAAAGGGGCTTGTTTCATAGTAGCACTTATATGGACAATCGGAATTTTGCTTTCTGTCATTCCTCTTCTCGATGTTAGCTATTTTCACGATGAATCGCGACGAGTTGGTTATTATGGACGGTCAGCTTTATGTCTTCCTTTGCAGCTTACACGAGACAAACTTGCCGGATGGGAATATTCAGTGATAATCTTCATCGTACTCAATTTAATTTCTTTCACCTTCATCCTCGTAGCTTATATTTTAATGTTCATAACTGTAAAACGAATTTCTTCCTCGATACGTTCGACAGTAATGAGTAGAGAATCTCAGATGGCGAAGCGGATGGCGTTCATCATCGCCACAGATTTCTTTTGCTGGATGCCGGTTATTATCATCGGGATTCTTTCCTTGCTGGACCTGTTTCATGATCCAGAACAACAGGTTTATGCCTGGTTGGCTGTGTTTGTGCTTCCTGTTAACTCGTCCATTAACCCAATCCTTTACACATTCTCTACACCGCTTTTACATAACCGACTGAAGTTTAATAAAACATTGAGAGACAAATGGCTCAGCAGAACGTTCTTGACTTCACCGTCCAGTAAGTATGAATTACTAAAGTTAAAACTATGTAAAACTATCAAGAGAATATGAAGTAAGAGAAGGTATCCTAGCTATATAGCCTTGTAACCATCATGTGCACAGTTTGATGCTATTTTTAAGTGAGATATTTTAAGCAAAGAACCTGATTGGTTTATTTCTTCAGGGTGCCTACCCTTCCAGTTTTGCAGTAGACAAAGCCCGGCTTTGTTTTTGTCGTAGACGTAGAGAAATATGGCGCTCTCGCGTCCTAAAAACAAGACTTGCCGCCATTACATAATGTTTGTTTATGTTTTCACCGGATTCGGAAAGGAAGCATGATCGTCGCGCGGGCATGGTAACGAGTAAAAAATAGTTCGGATTCTAAAACTAGCATCAAAGTGTGCACATGATGGGGCACGGGGATTCCTTCTCTTAGTTCATATTCTCATGAAACTTTAAAACTATAGGGTGTAAGCTTGATAAAAGTTAGCAAATGTTGTTGTACTTAGTGGTCTCGCGTTCGATTTCTCCAGTGTCTCTGCTTTTTCTCCCAATACAATAAATTTCAATTCGATCTTAAGTTAGCCGTGCCCAGCCTTAGATCAACCCAAAAGTTGCTCAAGGGTTCGATTTGTTGGATAGCCTTCCCTTGACTTAGATCAGCTCAGATGTTGCTTCGGGGTAAGATCTGTGAGTTAGCTGTGTCCTGTTTTAGACTGATCAGCCCAGAGGTCAATTCAGGGTTCTATCTGTGAGTTAGCTATGCCCTGACTTAGATCAGCCCAGAGATTGTTTCGGGGTTCGATGTGTGAGTTAGCCATGTCCTGACTTACATCAGACCAATAGTTGTTTCAGAGTTCTATCTGTGAGTTAGCCATACTCTGACTTAAATTAACCCAGAGGTTGTTTCAGGGTTTGGTCTGTGAATCAGACATGCCTTGATCAGCCCAAAGGTTTTTGGGAGTTCGATAAGGTTTATACAACAATAGAAAACTTCAAGACCAAATGATTCAACTTCTGAAAGCATATTTCATATTTGCATTATTATAAACAAACTCACTGTTATGTTTTTATTTCTGATACTCATTATTTATATACAGCTATCCCTGTCACTCGACTTAACGCCGTTGACAGTACGAGGATATCCAGAATTAACTCAACCGCAGGATTTGGTTACACCAACCTTGTAGCAACGAACTCTCGATCTGTACTGGATATTCCGAAGGAAATAAACGCAAATAATGTAAGTACATAATAATGGATGGGATAGGATGGGATGGATGGGATGGGATAGAATGGGATAGGATGGGATGAGATGGGACGGGATGGGATGGGATGGAATGGGATGGAATAGGATGGGGTGGGGTGGTATGGGATGTGATGAGATGATATGGAATGGGATGAGATGGGATGGGATGATATGGGATGGGATGGAGCGAGGGAGGGATGGATGGAAGGAGGGAGGGAGAGAGTGAGTTTTGGGAAGGGATGGGATGGATGGGATGGATGGGATGGGATGGGATAGGATGGGGTGGGGTGGTATGGGATGTGATGAGATGATATGGAATGAGATGGGATGAGATGGGATGAGATGGGATGGGATGGGATGGGATGGAGCGAGGGAGGGAAGGATGGAAGGAGGGAGGGAGAGAGTGAGTGTCGGGAAGGGATGGGATGGATGGATGGTCTGAATGAAGGAATGAATATAATATATTTGAAAGATAATACACAATTTACATGTTACTTTACAGTTCCCAAAACGTTCTACTCAAGAAAATTTATCCACAACAGCTAACTGTTCTTCATACATGCCAACAATGAACCTGAGGCTCGTTGAGATCCCAGATGTTTGTAAAGATGACAAGCAGAATGCTTCGATGGTAAGGCATAGATCTGGCTAGTATGATTAAGTCAAGTCTTTATCATTAATTTATGCTAAGGGAAGAGGTCAAAACAGTTGTCCAGAGTAGGGACCCGATTTGAAGGGGGGGGGGGGGGGGGGGGGGGGGGGGGGGGGGGGGGGGGGGGGTGGTATATGCCGGCACCCGCCATCTCTTTTAGTAAAACCAGCCCCCGCTTTTTTTAACCACTCTTAAAATTGCGTTGTGATACATACATATTATTCGCTAATAAAAAATAAAAAAATTTTTAATATATTTTAATATATTTTAAAGATTTATTAATAAAGCAGTTTAATGGAGATGTACTTGAGGCGATCACAAATCTATGAAGAAAAAAAAATTTAAAAGCAGATTTGAAAATTATCTGGAGCTTCCTAGACTTGAAATAAACCGTTAAAGAAACTAACCACGCTAATATGCGAAAATGATTTTTCTCTTCAGTTGTTGAATTTTTTGCCGAGAAGCCATGCTACTCTGCTATTAATTGCCAGGATTACTAAATATATGATTAATTAACCTTGGGTTTTATACTGATGAAGGTCAAGTCAGGCGGACTACAGTCAGTTGTGTCTTGCAATGGCGCTCTTGAGATTAATTCGGAAACAAGTACCTTATCTGGGTGATATAACACACAGATAAGTTACGTGTTTCCCAAAGAAATACTAAAAAAAATTCAATCTACTGCTGATGAAAAATATCTTCCTTAACCTTGGTAGCATGAGTGACTCAGCGCAACTGAACGTTTGCCAATGCGGCTTCCGTACTCGATTTCGTATAGGAATAGAATTTATTGAGATGCGTCGAGTGTTTTTTCCCCCGGTTGTGTCGCATGCCAAATGGGCTTTGAGTACACTGTGCCACCCATCCGGGACCCTGAATTACCCCCTCTTCAAATGTATGCTCTAATTGTTTTGCAAGGGCTTCGTCGTTGCATGGTCGGAAGCAGTTCCAGGAGAGATATGCTTGCGTCTCATCAAGCATCTGGGCAAGAAAGACGAACAGGCATGGAAGAAAGAAACTAGCATTGTTTCATCACTGACATCGTCAGGCGAACACCCAAATTTATTAAAATATTGTTGGCACTCTAGAGGTGAGGTTAGGAATTTTATGGACGTGACTTAGATGTGCGGAAGGACGGTGAGAGGGGCCGGGGACTGTAGGTTTATAAACAAGATACGTGAGAAACACTATCGACCCCAGATTCTTGTTATTCTTAAGATGCGCATGCAGAAGCTGATTTTGAAAAGGACGTTTGCACACACATATTGCTTGGCAAATTTTCTTTCTTATTTAAATTTGTATTCCCTCGTGAGCATAGAAAGACAATTGGTGCTTATTAACGGAACAAAAGAAAGTTTGTCCAGCAGTAGAGGTCAATCACGCGATTATACAAACGTGCTATTGTCTATTAAACTTCTTAGTTCTAGCCGTGGGAGCCATATAAATTTGAGAAAAAACAGCTTGATAATCATATTTTTTCATTCTCTAACCATATAGTTATTAAATAACTTTGTAGCGAGTGAAGTTAACATCAGATATAACAACGAAAGCCTTCCGCAGATAAAACCTAATGCCCTGTAAGTATTTTACCTATGTCAGTGGAAATGGGATTTGAGTGAGGGAGCGGAAGTGTTTCCTACTTCTACCTCTACTTATTCATAGCAGTGTTTTGTATTCTGGGACAACTAGCTTCATTTTCTTGATGCTCTCCTTATCTCTATAATTTTTCTTATCAGGCTAATCTGCTACGATTTTGTGTCCAGCACATCATTGGAAGACTACCTGAAGGACAGCCAAACGACAATAAATTTTGATTCTTTATGTGCCATCGCCCTGGACCTTTGTAATGCACTAGAGGAGTTGCACAGACATGGTGTGGTGCATAATAACATTAAACCATCAAATATCTTTATTGGAAGGTGCCTGAGGGTGAGTTACCCTTCAAAACAAAGATCATCAGCTTTTGTTTTCGTCCGCATCATGTGCAATTGCCATGCACAACCGTAAACACTTCATCGTCACTATTATCATCATCAGACATCATCCCCATTATCAATATCATCATATCATATCAGCACCATCACTATCACCACCAACATCACCATTGCCATCACCATCACCATCGCCATCACCATCACCATCACCATCACCATCATCATCACCAACGCCACATTCATCCATCACCAGCAATAACGTTACAGATACCACTATTATCTCCACCATCATTTTGGTATCGTCAACATTCTTTATTCCGTCTTTGCATGCCCGAACAGTTGTTTTTGTCTTGGCTCTTGCCACTGTGGTGATCAGGTTTATATTGTCACTCTTGCTTGTTTGGTCAGTCTTCTTAATGGCTGTATTCATTTTTCTATAATTTGTGTTTTACGTTTTCCATCATTTCCTCATTTTTAGTTTCCTCCAATTTTGGCAGTTCTTGGTGGATTTTCAAGAGCTGAAAAAGTAAAGCCTGGAAAGTCTTTGGGCAAATATAAAACTTTAAATGCAGATCTTATGCTCTCTAAGAACATTTACCAGTTTGGAAAAATCTTGTCAACGCTGATTGGTCACTGCAAAACTCTGAACAAGTCCATCGAGGCAAGTATATTTCTTTAGTGCACTCGTTGAAAGGCTATTAAATAATGAATTTATAAGCGCTGGAGCATGGGACCACCTTTTTGAATCCGGGAACATTGTTTAAGCTCAAACGGCCCACGGCTGCTAAGCTAAACAAATAAAGGTGCATTTTGCTCCGACATGAAGGTAGATTTTTATAGTTTCTCACGAGGGCGAGAGCTATAGGTTTCTGGAGAGAGATAAACACAGGAATTAGAACAACAAATTTTATGCGAGGTAACACATTTATCAAATAAATGAAGACTGTATATTTTTATTTTGAAATTGCCGTTGTTAAGCAAATAAGAAAGATTATCATATGACCCGTACGGCCCTGCTCGCGCGCTCTAATAAAACCATTGGAAAAAGTCACGTGATGGGGGCCGGACGGGTTGACGTAAGCGGGCCGGAAAGTTAGGTCGGGCCGTAAGGGAAAATATTTGGCTCTCGGTCATTTGTACGGACCTCGAGCCAAATATTTTCCCGTACGGCCATCCCACTCAGTCAATAAGTACATAGAAATGAATATATATGCTTATACTTAATAAATATTTATGTATTCATGAGAATGGTGTATTGAGGCAGCACATTTTTTAAATCAAAATATGCGTATCGTTCATTTACCAAGGTTTACAAAACAGGCATATTCAGAATTCAAATCTAATCTATTGTAGCATTTTTCCTCTTAGATCCAAAGTGTAATGGAGCTATGCGTGGACCAGGTATTTATTAAGATGATAACCCCGTCACATATCAAAGAGATTCTGAATGAGATCTGGAGCAGCACAGAAGTATGGGACACTTATTTGTGAATCAACTTTCAACATCGCCTTTATAGAGGGGTACCTCTTTCGTGGGGGTGAAGGACTGATGTTTGACATTTCTTTAAAAAAAAAGTTTTAGCCTCCACTCTTTACTATCCCCCATTGGACTTTGAAGCAACTTGAAAAACATAATAGCAACTTTTCTTTAAAAAATGTTATATAAAACCGAATAGAAGATAATAAGAGATTCTGAGTGAGATTTGTAGCAATACAGAAACACAGAAGTATGAAACACGTATTTGTGAATCAACTTTCAACTGGGACCTTTTTTGTGAAATGTTTGACATTTCTTTGAATATCTTTGTCTCTTCTCTTTCTAACCTGCACCGCATGTACTTTGAGTAATTAAGCCAAGTAAATGAACACTTTAGGTTCAATGGAAGCAACCTGAAAAATATGATACATAACCAAATGTAAATTAAAACATATTAATATACACACACCTTTGCGAATTTTGGCGAGCAAATGCCGTTAGCATTTCTAAAAAAGATATACCAAGGATGGCATGACCCGGCATGACTGACCAAAAGCGAGCGATGCTTAAAAACGATTGCGTACTAATAAAAGATATGTTGGTTCACGATAACAGACAGTCAACCAACATATCTTTTGTTAGGGTACTCTTACCAAGAATATATGCTAAGGCTAAATGTCGAATAAAAGCTATCGAATTCTTATTGACGACATTCCTGCCATGCCATTCCTGGAATTTCACTTTCTTTCCAGAAACATTTAGTCAAGTAAATGACATCGGATTGTAATTTTCAATGAGAATTTAGAAGGCTATTATCTTCTGTGGAGAGAGGTCAGCTGCATAACGAACATCGAGAATAACAGCGCTCAAAGACAGTAGAAAACCAGCAAACAAAACGTACTAGTTCAAGTATGCACCAAGGACAGGTATGGCTAAAACCATGTTTCCCATATGTGGCCCCTTGGTATGGAAACTCTTTTTTTAGAAGAAAAGCAAAAGACTTGTTCCAGAACCAACCTATCTATATCTATCTCTATCATGGAAACCGAGCCTATGTAGCTTGGAGTTCATTAATATCAAGGCATGTACTGCTGACCAGGAAGAACGTAGGCCCTGGTGATAAGACCATCACAAACCAAATCATTGACTTTCAAAAATAATTACGCGTGCTAAGGCCGTCATCTTCAAGAATGACCACATTGCAATTTAAACGAGTACCGTTCGTGACAATATACTGAATGACTCAATACGTGAGTAGACAAGGAGGCGGCACAATCTCATCAGACTTGGAATGTATTTCCTCAATCGTGATTCGGAACTACGTGACTTGGAAACCAAAACATTAGTCAACCTACCATTGCCATTCTGGTAATTTTCCTTCAGATCTTTACTTTAGTTTACCAATGCAAACTTTATCTTCAGCGACATCTTCCAGGCGAACATCGCGTTCAGTTCTAGCCAACAATAGTCCACGATAGTGTCCTCAACGAGTTGCCAAGTACACTATGTTTTATTCAGTTGATTGGCAGCAGTCAGTGTCTTACTGGTGATGGAAGACAAAGTTTAATCAGGAGGAAAATTAAAGAAGCATTCTTTTTGCTTAGTTATTTAGTAAGTTATTTTCACTTTCAGTCACTCATTAAAGTTTCATGCAAACATCTATACAAGAACTACTTTTCTTATTCCTTGTAATATTTTAGTTTCAATTTGCATTATAGCAAGTGTACGAGGACTAAAAAGAAGATTCGAGTAGTGTGTAAATGCTAACGAAATGACGTCATTGTGTATGTGTTTGTCAGTGCATCTACTGGCTCAGTTTTGATGTGCAATGCGTGCAAACTACAACGAAGATATTCGTGCCACACTTTCAGATCTGCTGAAATCTATATAGCTAATTTGTTTGCCTGTTTCATATCAATAGCTTTGACAACTAAATAGTTAATATGGCCAACGTGTGTCTATGCCATCATTTTTTAAGCTGTGACCACCTAAGGTCAAGTTGAGCCATAAAAAAATTTCAGAGTTGTTCTATACGTGCCGGTGGTCCCTACACTCAAATATCTGCATGCCAGGATTACGATTCTATAAAACTTGAAGGTTTGAAGGTTGACAAATCTTTACAAACGGATACATTTTAGAGAAACCTTAATAATTAATCCTAAACGTTTTTGATTTTTTCAGTACATATCGATAAGGTTGCAAAGAATTAATTAGGAAAAAGGGAATTGGAAAAAATTATGTAGAGAAAAGTGATTTTTATATTAAATTGCCTCCCCCCCCCCCCCAAATTGTTGTTCCTAGTCCGTTAATAGTTAACCATTAATTATATCACATTGATTTAATTAATTTCATCATTATGATATATTGTACTATATAATATTTTAAAGCTATTTTGATTGCATATGGTTAAAACTTGAAACTGCAGCAAAATTTAGCATTTTTTCTTCCTGATTGACTAGTAAATGTAGAAGAAGGGTGTTTCGGGGGATGCAACCAACTTGTCCAGCCACCCCACCACTCGTTCATGATTTTTTTTAAATATATGTTAAAACAGTAAATGCATGCTCTTGTCTTACAGCGTACGACGGAAATCTTCACGTAACCGCTTATTGAGAGGTCAGATGTTTCAAAGTAATTTTGGCTTCAGACCAAGTGCGTTCTCATTTCTTTTGCCAAATTTTCAAAGTGAAGACACGATCACGGCACAAAGCGCCAAAATAAGGTTAAACCTAGGATCTTCGGATTACAGTCACTGATTTATTTGGATCGACGCGAAAACTTACGTAACATTAATGAACGGCGGTAGAACTTTTGTTTGAATATAATTAATACATTTATTCAGCTTTTTAGAGTTCGAAGTTAGATCTTATTCAGCAAAAAGAAAAATAGGTGTGATGCACATTTAAGAGCCGGTTGAATTATACGCGAAGTAAAGGGGAAGCGATGCCTAAGTTGACATTGGTTAAGACCATAAAAATAGGCCTTTTTACCTTGGGCGTAATGCTTTCCCATTTCAGACCACGTGTCATTCCCTAAGTATCATTTATTTGTTTAACGGTTGCGCATGACAAAGCACGTGAAAATGGATACGGCTCAAACAAATATCACGTGGTCTGAAAATGGGAAAATATATTAAGGCCCAACAAGGTAAAGAAGTGTATTGGAGCGCAACATGAAAAAGTATACTGTTTTGTAGCATTTCTCTCTTCGACTGACTCCATGAACAATTTGTTTTATTATACATAGCATTTTGTCATACAGGATTTGCACCAATAAGATGTTAACTGTAATAAGAACCATCGTAGGTCGCAGCGTCCTTTTAAAAATTTAGGCTTTAGTTGGTTAGGTCAGAGAAATTTAAAAGCGGCAGTGACTCGCATAGAACGAGAAAGAACGTCAGCTAGAACACTAGTCCACACGTTTACAGTTCCCCTTAATTGTGGGTTACGAGGATCAAACTCGAACTACTTGAGTGGTAACAGGCAGAACAAGTACAATTTCGTCTTTTGTGAGGCTAAATGATGAAATATCTACTGAAAATTGAGCGTCTTCAGATTTTGATTGAAATTAGTAGAAAAGAGTTTCTTGGGATTAGTATGACCGAATTAAAGCCAAGTTCATGGGGACCAAATAATGAACTCTTTATGACGTCTTGACAATATTTCTCGCACGAGGAAAAACAGGAAGGCACGAGAGTTCACTTCCTTTTCAAATTGTCAGCAAAATTTTAGCCATTTTTTCTTTGGTCTGGGTCATGGTTTAGGGTCATCGAATGGAGCGTTTGTGTAGCAACTGAGATTTCAAAAAATAGTTTCACTTGTAATACATTTACAGCAAAACATGTAGTTTCCTTTTAGATTGAATATGAAGCAAAGGCTTTAAATTAGGAATGTGATCTTTCGTATTTTAGTCAGAAAGAATAAGAGCACAAAAGTTTCGTTTAGTCTTAGATCGCCCCGATTGAGATCTCCGACCGACGTTTTTTTGGAAAGGGGAGTCACAGAGAGTTCTCCTTGTATACATATTCAGCTTATCGCCTTTTTTTGTCAAGTTAATAAATTAAATTTATGATGTACTAACAATTTGTTCACAAGATAAGGTATACCACAGGGATCAGTCCATGGGCCCATGTATCCAAGTTCCACATTTCAGTACTAGTGTTTTGCCTTTGATTTTGGTAAGCCTAATAAATTAGAAATTGTTATGTGCCAACTGTGACATTGCATGATATTAAAGAGATGCCAATGCGATCCATTTCCGACTTATTGATTCATAAAGAGAACCGACTATTTAACAACGAACAGTACTAGCTGTGCATGCGCACAAGTGCCAAAGGTGAATTGTCTATTTTGTCTCCAAACAAAATAAATTTTACGTGAAACGAAAACAAAGAAAACTTGGAAATCGGTATGACGACGACTAGAATCGTCAAATTGTCCGAGATTCYGTGGCCGTCAATAAAAGGTACGCGCCATCTCTTGGCGGTGCACTACTGTAACAAATTTCAAGGAAATAACAACTCGCATATTGGCAGACGCTGGCATAAGGAGAAGCATAGACGTGGGGGATGGGGGGCCTCTTTTTTATGAGAATTACATTTTTATTTTGCCTTGGAATAAGAAAAAAAAAATCACCTCAAAACAGGGAAGGGAGAGGATGACTGCCAAATTATTACCAAGTACCAATGGTACAGTAAACGTCGTCAAGACAAATTGAGCACAAAAATCGAGGATAACCACGAGAGAGGGTTCGAGTTGCAGATAGCGTGACTCTATCAAGAAAGAAACTGCAGGCGACATAGTGTTTATGTAGCCCTGCACCGCTGGAGAGATCCCGGCCATTTTGTCAACACTTTAATGACTTGATAGTTTCTTAACAAGCCATGGAATGATGATTTGTCATTGTCTGTATCTTTCAGAGTCCTATAAGTAATTTCCGTTGCGACAAACGCAGATTTTTCTTGCGGAGTTATTCCATTGCAGACAACCATGACCTATTAATGAAGCTATTTGCTCGACTTGAAGCAACGTTTAAGATAGGAAAGTGCCAGAGAAACACATCGGTTTATGTCGGAAATTTGTGCGCATTTGCCACTGAGCCAAATGATCTCTAAATAGCCACCGGTATGGTGTATATCCGATTTATATAATCAGTTCTCTTATATCAGCGGATAACGCCAACAATCCAAAAAAATGCTATACTAATTAGCGACGTGTTTCCTTAAGACTGAAATCCAACCCTTATACAGTGAAAGATCTCTGAGGTCACTTCCATTGGATGCCGTGTTTACATTCAATACCGTTTTATCATGTGCCGTGGGTATTCTAATCAATTGACATTTGATGAAGCCACATCTACGGTGCTTCTTTATAAAGGAATTGGTCAACTGCGCTCAGCGCGATTACTTCCATTTTATAGAACCGCAAGGATAAAGGTCAGCTCGAATATCAATACATTGGGTATAAATACTACTGTTTCCTTTGATAATCCTCATTCCATTGGCTGGCCGAAGGAAGTKAATCTGCACTGAGGTTCTATATAAACACCACAGCCAACCGGGTCTAGTTTAACTCATGACCAAACACAAATGACAAAATCATGCAACTTCAAGAAATTTATCTTAAACTACTTTTTTTCTTGATCGTTCTTTGTATATTTTCATGTGTTAAATCATCAGTATTTTCCAAACGTGAAGATCAAGGTAAGAAGATTGTAACGATTCTAACGACTTTATTTATTTTATCAATAGTTTTGTCATTCCCTCATTAGGTCTCGTGCTGTTACTGACAGTATCGTTTGTAAACTTCTTCAACTTCACAGAGCGATTTTTACAGAATCTAAAGTCCTTCCAAATAATTTATCCAGAGATATCGTACGAAAATGAAGTCATATCCATCGAAGAAAGTATCTCAAAGCCTGTATTTCAGATACGTTTTCGCGCCTTTGGAGAGGATTTTCTTCTGGACGCGTGGTTAAACCTGAATTTAGTACCGCCAAGCTACTCGAAGGATGTACTACCGCGCGAGAGGCTCTCGCAGAACCAAAACATTAGGATGTGTTTTTATAGTGGGAAGTCAAAGTTGCATTCCGATTCAAGTGTAGCTATTGGCAACTGTCATGGACTGGTAAGACATTAGAAAACCAATTTGCGCTAATTGGGGAAATTGTTTTATGTTTTTATAAGGAAAAGAGCAGATGGAAAATCACTGCACTTGAACCGGAGATTTAACAATGTATCTATTTTCAAAAAACTATCGTGAAAAAAGTAATACATACAGATAAGGCTCAGATAAAAAAGAGATTGGGATATCGATAGAGATAATTGTGAACGAAATATCAAATGCCATAGATAACGCATATTATACACATGTGTTTTGACTTGGACATTTAACGTTGTCGGCGTGTGCATGATCGTTCTGGGGTCAGCAGAAGTTTGTTTGATTAATGTTCTACATATGCCATACATCTGTCTGAGGCTATCAATATTTCAATCTCATGCGGGGATATTCATCTTCAGTTAGGTGTCATCAGAATGGGCCAAGAGGAGTACTTCATTGAGCCTATGGAAAAGAAACCAGGAAAACAGTTTGCGCATGTTTTGTACCGAAGGTCAGATTTACCCACAACAAGGTCTTCAACGCCACAAAGCTGTTCAGCGGTGAAAGGTTTGTAATCCTTCGAAAATTGATAAGCGGCCTGATATGAAATTTAGAAAAGCCGACCCCTGGTCAAAAGTATTTAAGAAATTGCTTATGTATTTCTTTAGGCAGCGATTTGAATGTCTATTCATTATCATTCAGCAGTAGACATGAATACTTCACCGATGTATAGTTGATGAATGATGCCCCCATCGTCTGAGCGATTTCTTGTTTTTGGCAAAGCATTTTGATATTTGATGCCTCGAATCGTTTCCTAATTGTACAAATACTGTACTCAGTTACTTTTCCATGGTCCGTCATGATCATGTCATCAGTAACATCGCTATAATTTCCATACAGGCCACAGGGAGATGGACTGTAATTCTTTGCTTGTCTTTGGAGCCTTCAAAAATAATTTTATCGTTGTGAAAACGCGATCTAGGACAAGAGATCGTCTAATTATTATAGTGAATAAATAGTCCTTTCACCCCCCGAGGCTCCATTTATAAAAAATCATTAGAATTACTCAGTTTGAAGTGTGTAATTAAACGCTTCTTGTAGCATTTTGACTCACTTGACCAGGCTGACTGACTTCTCCCAGTCATACGAAGGCCTTAATTTCTCGTTCTTAGTAGCCCTGGCCTATTCAAATTATACTCCACCATATGTAAAAGCAATGTTAAATGTTTTCTCTACAAAGAATAACATAATCAAACCCTGAAACAACTGAGTTGAGCAGAGTTATGGCATGGCCAACACAGATCGAATCCTGAGACAACTTCTGGCATTTCTCGGATGATCAAAGTTATGGCAGTTACTCAACTCTCAGAACCCTGAATCAATTCAACTTGTGGGCTGATCTATAAGTCAGGGCACGACTTGCTCACTGATCGAACCGTAAAACAAGCTCTGTCCTGATCTAAGTCAGGGCACGGCTAGTAACTAGCAGATAAAAAATGTATTTTAGTGTATTGGGTTTTGAGAAGGGGGGACAACCTGGAAACAAAACTTCTAATAAAGGAAGAGAAAACTCAACAAACTCTATTAACCATTGTTTACGAGTCCAGGAATAAAACTTGAGACCCCAGAGTTGACAACACCACCTTAAAACTAAGATATACGATACCGTTTATGTTTGGACTTCGTCTAGAATGCTATGATAAGACTGTTTTGTTATTGTCAGATCCTGGTCGTCGACGCTTCAATAATACCAATATTACAGATAATCTTCACCATGGGTCTCGCAATCGGCGGTCGGTGGTGGAGATCACGCTGCAGCTGTTGGTAGTGGTAGATAAGGATATGATCGATTTCCATGGCAATGACACTATAGAGGAGTATGTTCTAACAATCATGAATATGGTATGCACGTGGCTTTATGAATGCCAAAATTGTCATCCAAAAAGATGTTTTAAAATCTTCAATGTAAAAAAAAGTTAGTCACCTGAAAAGCTACAAAGCTGAGACGGGTAAGGATTATGGGTAGATAATTTACAGGTTTTAACAACTTGATAAATATCGATGGACTCCGGTCCTTCAGTCTCCAGTCCTGTGATCATCCTCAAGTTGCAATTGGTATCAAATGACTTTTTTCACATGAAGTATTTCCCGTGATCCTTAGTAGTTTCAGATTTGTAGGCTTTTGGTGACTAACTTTATTGAAATAAATATAAAAGAGGGTTTGCATGGCAACCAAGTGCGATTGTCCATTGTTCTTGTCCCACAACACGTCTGCCTTCAAGTTCTCTTTGCTCAGCGCTAACCTTATTCTCGGTTGTGCGTTATAATATTCAGCTATTCAACCAAACACCGTGGCATTTTAATCAACTCAAATTGTTCCGTAGTGCGTACATTCCTTAATACGATGGGCATTGAAAGAAAAGAACACATTTGTACACAATCGAGGCTAAGACTGAGCGAAGGCGAACTCGAAATGGGAGTATTGCCTTAGTATACGTACCAGGGACGATCACCAAGGACACTTTCCAAAAGTCTTAGGTTCATTTTCTAACATTTTTGTTTTGATATGATGACACAGGTGTCCGAGATCTACAGGGATCCAAGCATCGGTGTTGCTATAAATCTCGAGGTCATTAGACTAATTCTGCTCTACAACAAACAGGTAACACAAGTCCATCAGTACTAATGCGCTGGATTGTTTTATTGACCTCACAATTTTTAAATAAATATTTTATAAATGTTTTACAATAAAATCAAACAAAACAATAACAACAGCGACAACAACAACACCATATTCAACATTGACAACAACAACAACAACGACGACGACAAAAAAAGCATACAAACAAACAGACCAACGTACAAAAGAAAAAGAATAAATGACCACGAAACTTCTTAAGCGTGATGTTGGTGTTAGAGCACTCAAATTGCAACAGAGTGCGCATATGCTAGGGATATAACGGGTAGGAGAGTCCTATATCGTTAAGACATCGTTGAGACAGTCGTTCTTGGATCTTTCATAATACCAAATATTGCTTTGATGTTTACAGAAACAACTTTCCATAACTTCAGATGGCCATGAGACTCTTCAAAGCTTTTGCGAATGGCAAAATAGTCTTCGATGGCGGGAAGGCGAGGATCCTCAGGAGCATAATCATTATGACGCGGCTGTGCTGATAACGAGGTATGGAGTGCAATAACTGCAATAACGGTGCAATAACTGCTTTATTATTTTGTGATGACGACCGGTCACATGACATTACGGACTTTACAGGCTGCACATCTTTTGGTTGTTTTTATAGCCGCCACCTTGGTTGATTTTTAAACGAAGGATTACACGTAGAAGAAACGTCTTAATAAGGATTAATCATTAGTCTCTTTTTGTTATATCAACCAACATAGCAGCAATGTCTTTTGTCTTTGCGCGTGTGATCCATGGAAAAATGTAATTCATGTGTAAGACTTATCAGTGCTTACGTCACTGCTTGACATTACGTCTCTTTATTCCAGACAAAACATCTGTGCTGATAAAACAGAAAAATGTGCTACAGTTGGTAGGTCAATCTCCTAATTGTATCGAATTCTCTTGTAGATCACAATGATGACAGTTAACAATGATATCCAAGGTCACTTACATCCAATCTTGAAATAAGTTGATATCAAGGATTGGAAAATATTTTTTGACCTAGCCTTCAACAGTGTCTGCCTCGGGTGCTGATAACATTTTCATTTCAAAAAGCTAATAATAATCTTTATCTGGTCACAAATTGAATGTTGGCAAATAAGTATACTTTCTTTCCTGTGTTCTTCTAGATTATCCCCCGGGTTCTCCGGTTTTTCCCCGCCACAAAAACCAACACTTTTCAGTTTCGGGCGCGCTGTAGTTGTCCTATGCTATAGGAGTGTCCCCATTATTGCGAACATCATGGAATCGTAGCGCATAAAGTAAATCAGTGTGCATTTACCATTCGTTTGGAAAATCTGTTTGAAACTGATCATTGCCTACGGAACAGTCAGTACCCATTGTCACGCGATCGAGACGCAACATGACATTAACACTTATTAAATATGGCATAACTAACCTTAGCATTAGATATTTTGGCTAGTTATGGACGATGATATCGTAGAGAAAGAGCTTTTAGAAGCTAATTCGCCATTCTATTTGATACAGTTAGCCCGACAGACGCATAACATCTGGCAGACATGCCAAAAAGAGAACTTCAAACAGCTATAAGTCTAGCTGGTACAAGTAGTTTGTCGTCAAATGGGACACGATATTTCGATATTTGACTTACCGGGCAAAGAGGAATCCGTTCGAAGGTATTTCGTTCTTTTCGGAAAAAATTCCGTTGGAATGAACCGTTCCTCATGATGACCAACCGAAAATACCGGATTTTCCAGACAAAAGGTAAAAGCTCTATATCTAAATTCCATTTTCTTTGGTAGGTATGGGATACCTGTATGGGATGTGCGACCTCAAAAGACGATGCAGCGTCAGTGAAGACAACGGTCTTAATGTTGCATTCACGATTGCTCATGAACTTGGCCACAAGTAAGCTGTCAACGACTTTAAGCTAAAATTTCTGGCGTTTGCAATTTGTTTATGGAGTTGATAATACCGCTGTGATGTTTGATTGCAGACGCAAATACGTAGCAGGGTTCTAAGCAGGGGGGACCAAGGGACAAGGGCACCCCCTTCGGAGCAACAAAATGGCGTATTTTAAGAATTTAGTTACTAATTTTCATTTAAAATAAAAGGTAAAACGTAACCCCATCCCTTCGCAAAATCCTGGCTCAGCCCCTGCGCAGTGACCAAAAGCAAAGCAAAGAAATTGCTGATTCGTATAGAAAAAAACTACGCTAAGCTTATAATGTAACTGAAAAGTTGAAACTCGAAGATGAAGTCCAAGATAGAGCAATCAATCCTAATTAGTTAAATACTTCAGTTTTTAGTTGTGTTTTGCTCGGCCTTAACCTCCACTTAACCAAAAGACGTGGCATTTTAATTAACGCGGGTTTTTTTCCCGTAGAAAAAAGAAAAGAAAAGAAAAACTAAACATTTTTACACAATCGAGGTTAACACTCGAATTGGCAAATCTCCTATACAATAGTATATAGTTGAATATGAATAATATTTCGACACTACAACGTAACTATAATACCTTTAGACCTCAAAGCACTCAAGTTTATTTTATCTCTATCGGCTTATGGTTATTAATCGACATTTCCGTTTCAGTCAATTCACAGCTCTCCCGGATTATTAAAAAGACCGGCTTACATAATGTAGAAGGGTTAGACAAGAGAACTCTCACGAAAGCCCAATCTATGTGTGGAGGCATAATTTCTAGTGGGAGGGGGTGGGGCAAAAATGGCAATTGAATGGTACGAACTGAATGTCAATGGATCAAAACATTAGTTCACTTTTAGAACTCAACACGCAAATATTGCATACTTATTACGGCAGACGGGCTTCATATGTTGGGCCCTAAATATTATTTATCGAGAGGAAATTAAAACAAAAAAAAAAAGGGAAAAAAATATTGTCCAAATGAAAATTAGACGGATATGCGCTGCGTCAACCGGGTACTATGTTGCTGTGGATGATAACAGCCATTGAGAGCGGTCAGGGTCAAAGCCCTTAGCCTTACTTCATCCTGTTTCCGTTCCTTCAAGCACAACAGAAGTATATGCTTTGCCATTTGTATCCATTTTTGAAGAAGAACCTCAGAAAAAGGACGTTAGTTTTCCAATAGATTTTACATCCAAATTGACTTTTAATTGAGAATCTGTCAAGTCGTATGCCACAGCCGGGTTTGGCTCATGGTTGATGTGTACGAGACCATACTAGAGGGGGCCACGCCCTATAAAATCGATCAATTGTAGCCAACATCCTATATATGGATCTACGAGGTTAAAATTCCGCAAGAGATGTATAATACAGAGCTTATCTCAGGGTACAGAAAATAGGACAAACTAATCATAATTAAGTGGTGCTTCTTTTAAGTCAATTTACCTATTCCTCTTTTACTCCGACGAAGACTAGCGTCCAAAACGTCAGTAAGTTTTTTCATCTTTTCAAGGTGATATAAGTTTACCATTTTTTCATTACTGTTTCATTAGAAACACCGACGCAGCTCACACTAGTTTTTAGCAAGTTATCTCTTCTTTCAATTCATTTAAGTGGTGCAATTTTTTAAATCTCAAACCTGCGTGTAATTGTATCAATTTTTTTCTGAGGTTTGCGAACTTTTTCATGGACTTGAATGCAAAAAATGACTTAGCAAAGGGTTATGTCTTTGCATGAAGAAATCGATACATCGCATGCTGGAAATCACATGATTAAGAAGTATATATTTATAGACATTAGGAGAATATTAAGAAACCGCAAATCAGACACGCTAAAACTAATTATGAAATCATCTGTCGTCACGATGCCAAGACGGTAAATTGTTATTCTTTATTAGGAAGTATATTTAAGCTGGTTAATACATTGATTTTTAGGGAACGCCCTTTAATCCAAACAATAGCCAAACTTCTATAAGTAGTTCTTTTATTGGCATCGTCTACGTCTACGAGATTCTAATCTATCTAACAACTTAGAATCTCTATTAGATTCTTTCTTCTCGTGCGCGTGTGTCTGTCCGTCCGTCCTCTTCTCCCCAACCGCCACTACGACCCACCATTAACACGTCGACGCCTAGGGCAGTTTTCGTATGACTGTGAAAACATCGGTGCCGTTTGAGTGCCTTGCCACGACCGAGATGCTTTCTAGACTTTTGATTGGGGTTTATTTTTTCTGGCGCAATGATTGGTCTGGCAGTACCGTGACCTCGGCACCGTGTCCGCTCCGTGATCATGCCATGTGTCGGGTATTTGATTGGATGGAGAGTAAATGCAAATGTGATTGCTGTGGCGTATATGCCTTGCCGTGCCACGACCGTGTTTGTGCCGTGAGCTTTTCACAGTCATACGAAAACTGCTATATTTCCCATTCCCGCGCGTGTCTGTTAGAAATTTTGTACTTGACGTATGTTGCTTTTGATCTTTGTACTTATGACAGTCTGGGGATTTATCACGACGGTGAAGGGAATTCCTGCTCTGATTTCTCTGGTGAGATTCCTCACCTGATGTCTGCAAGATGGTTGTTGAGGAACAAACATGGTGGCATGAAGTGGTCTCAGTGCAGTAAGAGATCCCTCAAAGCATTTTTAAAGTGAGTATTTAGAAAAATACCTTTAGCACGACGTTCTTGTTAGGTACCGCAAACCTCGAACTGCAGTTCGACGTCAAGCGTTTTCCTTCATTTTTTCGATATTTAGCGGGCCGTCATAATGAAGTTGTTGCTGGAAAGACCACCATATTAAATTTCGTTGGTGCGGAGCGTTTTGTCCGTGTTTGCGGGCATGATATGATTCCGTTAGCGGTAAACCTGATGTTAAAGGTCTCTATTAATAGATACTGGACGCAAAGCTGAATATGGCTGTAACTGTAACTTGTTGAGAGCTCAGAATCAGACCAATCGCATCCAAATCTCAATAGATACACACTGAGTGTACGCTTAAACAACTACGAAACAAGGGGTCTAAGTCGAGGTTGGACTGGAAGGGGTGTTCATACATTTATTGTATAGATTAAGTCTAACATCGGCTTGAAACTATTGTTTCTTGGTTGTTCCAGCGAATTAAGGAAACGTTTATTGAAATAAATTTTCTGCTTTTTAACAAGATCTTCATCACAAAGGGTACACTAGCACACATATGGTTGCACGCTTGCGCACGGTAATTGACCAATCAAAGCGCGCGTAATACTGTTATAATTGGTGGGGTATTTATTAATGGTGTTAAGACGTAACATGCGAAGGAAACTAATTTTTTTTTCCATATTTGTATTAGATCTGAGGACAGCAAATGTCTACGTCGTCACTCAAAGTCCAAGAAAATTGCTTTACCGCCAGATTTGCCCGGTGTGCGCTACAGTGCTGATGACCAGTGTAGACTGCAATATGGGAACAGGGCTAGACACTGCTTGAAATTTAAGGTAAACTTAGGCTTTGGCATTATTATTTTACTCAGCCTTCTATTCATTCTTCTATCCATTCATATTCTTTCTTTTAGAAGTGAGCTCTGGCGCATTCACATGACACAAGCCATTAGTAACTACTTTGCTTTTCTTTTTTTGTTGAAAATTTAAAGGCAAAGCTGTGTCGTGAATTGTGGTGTGAAATCGAGGGAGAGCAGTCATGTCGGTCCAAGTTGAATCCACCGGCTAAGGGCACGGCATGTGGTCGTGATAAGGTATGGTGCAACTACTGTAGAATGGTTTGGTGATAAAGGCGTTCTCTGGTTTACACTGTGATTTCCGTATTCGTTAAGGCTCGGACTCACAGTGTATTTGTCGCGAAAAGCGTTGGCGGCGAAAGAGGTTTCGAGGGATGTCACATGTAGGAACGTTTACTTTCCTGCAATACATGAATAGCATGTGTCATTGCGATCGAAAAATTATGGAAAATCAGTATTCCAATTGCGGATACTTTTCCCGCTTTTTTTTTTTTTTTTTTTTTTGTACTTTCGGTAGACGCGTATACCATCATACATCGGAAGTTAAATATTCCCGCTCTTTTTCTTACCATGAGCAAACAAACTCCCAACCGAATGGGTTTGTTCAAATTGTAAGCACTTCTGATTTGTATTGCATTTGATTTATCGTAGTGGTGCATGTTCGGTTCCTGTGTAGAGAACACCATCATACCTCAACGTCGTGACGGGGACTGGACGGATTGGAGTGGATGGAGTAAGTGCTCACGATCATGTGGATCTGGTGTCATGGCTATGCAACGCAAGTGTAATAACCCAAGGTAAGTAGAACGCATGAAAACCAGCATCTTTATTTACGCAAGACCATGGAAACACTAGGATCCTAAAGCTTGTGGGTGAGAGTGCGAGCACTTTCTCGCCAAAAGCAAACCTCAAACTACAGTTCGACGTCAGGCGTTTTCCGTCATCTTTTCGACATTTAGCAAGGCATCATAACGAAGTTAGTTTTTACTGGAAAAGCCGCTAGATTGAATTTCATTGATGCCGAGTGTTTGGGGGCGTGTTTCTGGGCCTGACCATTAGCATTTAGCTGTAAACCTGATGCTAAATGTCTCTAATGTAAAGCATTAATTAATTAATTAAGAGTGGTCGTTTTCCCTCTCCTCCTACACCACAGACTACAATTAATTAATCGTACATTTTCAGACCTCTCAATGGAGGACGATATTGCATCGGCGAAGAAAAGCGTTACAAATTATGCAACATTCAGGTATGATGTCTGCTACTTTTAATAGTATTTGAGATAAATGTGTGGTAATTCTTGTTGTTACTCTGTAGCTTATAAGCAATTATAATCGCATCCCTAACTAGCAGGTCTTTTCCTTGTCTCAAACTGAATTATTTTTACTAAAGTACTCACTACTTGAACCAATGATTAAGACTTTAACTGACTTTTTCATTGACAGTTTTGACAAGACTATCAAAGTCATTGTCATTACTCAATAATTAATAATACGAACTAAGCATTTCGTTTTCAACGATTTAATCACAAAGTTTATGACGACAGCACTTTTTCTTTTCTTGAGAATGATATCAGAATGATTCCTGAAGGCATCGAAACGTCGAGTAAAAAAAATCTTGTGTTTAAATCAAGAATGTTTAAAATATAATACGTAATACTGTGTTACTTACTGTGTTACGTGCTACTTTCAGCCGTTTTTTTATTGCGATTTGTAGCGTGTTACCAGATTACAATATTATTTATTGTCGTCCATTTTCAGCCATGCCCAAAGGGATCCCAAGACTTTCGTGTTGTCCAGTGTTCCTCTTATAATAACACCAAATACAAAGGAGTAGTGTACGAGAAGTGGGTGCCAGTCATTAGTGATGGTAAGTCTGTAGTAATATATAATATTTTTAAACTGACTAAACTCAAAAAAGATGATGTTGAAGGTTTAACTCTAACTAAATTCGAAGATTAAAAAAATAAAATAAAATAAAATAAAATAAAATAAAATAAATAAATAAATAAATAAATAAA